ATTGGTTGTTGTTAGAAAAACCAGAATAATATTTTAATTGAAATGTCAATTAATAACAAAAGTAATTTTTATTCTATAGATTTTTAAAATAAAGAATCTAGTCCTTATTCTAGGCCCAAAATAAACCAACTGTCAATAAATTAATGTGTAACTTCCAAAACATAACTATCTAAAACTACTCCAGATTTTGAAAGTAAAAACACACACCAATCTTTCCAAACATATTATAATACTAAAACTCTCAAAATTAATCATATGTGCTCCCTCAATCCCACTTTTCACTCAGCTGCTAAATAATCCCTCAGAATTAATGTTTTCTAACCTAAAATAATGCTATCTAATATGTAAGTCAGCAAGTAACATCAAAATCAAAGGAAAACTTAGCACCATCAGTGTAATTACTTAAAAGTGTGTCCTTTCAGCACAGCAGCACAGATTTAATGTTAAAAGTTATCTCCAACTTAATTGCTGGAGAAAATTAGGAAATTGCACAAAGCACTCATCTACCAAACACTATACTCTCAGACTTGATGTGGAATTTGTTTGACAAAGCTAATCCTGTCATCTTGTAAATGACCAAGAAAACGTACAATAATAATCCTAGAAAATCTGTTTAGCCTAGAAAATGACTTACCTTTATAAAGAATTAACATACTTAATACTCAATTTCTTAAGCACCTAAATTAACCACTTAGACAATCCTAGGGGGATTAAAAATAATAATTCATCACAAATAATTCAGATTACTATTATTAAAAGGCAATTTTATAGTTTGATTTTGTGTGGGGGGGTGTCTAGAGAGAGAGAATAATGATAATGATGTTGAGAGAATTAATTATCTACTCAATATAATATAATGGCCTACAATAAATGACAACTAGTTTATGTTGCTCTCCAATAATGATAAAACTCTTGATAACCCATCAATTTCATCTCACTCTTCTTTGTGACCAACAGAATATATTTACATACTTCAAAAGCCTTTTAAACTTGAAGCCATGCAAGGTAAGATTATCACATAGTCTCTGGTTCTAGAAATAAATGAAATAAATTGGTCTACTTAGAACTGAAAGCCATGATTTTGGTATCACTGAGACTGAGCTCTAACAAAAATGATTTAACCACAATAAAAAGCAGAAATTGATTGAGAGACATTAAATGTAAGATTGGAGATTTAATATCTGATCTAATAAGCAATTAGAAATCACTGTAAGTTTCTTAGCTAGAGAAAAACACTCTTAAAGTGATAATCATGATGGATTAGAAAGGAAAAACTTAGAGGCACAAGATAATAAATACCTAGATTAAAATAAAACAAGCAAGTAACTAGAGCAGATAAGAGGTATTGGAGAAAGGAAGGAAAAGGAATAAAGTTTAAGAACACAAGAGCTTATTTATAGCAGGGGCTGGCAAACTACAGCACCCAGGCCAAATCCAACCTGCTGTCTGTTTTTGCAAATAAATGCAACCTTCTTAATTTAGCCACCCTATATAAAATTACAGCCACCCATCATCTACCTGTCCTGATCCCCCTTTCCCTATTTATTAGTTTTTTCTTTAGTCACCTTCCCATAGGCCTACCAGAAATGTTAGCTTGAAGGCACAGATTTTGCCTGTTTCCTTCCTGATATATTCCAAACACCTGTTTGAGGATCTAGCATATTAATAGGCCCTTAAATATTAGTTCCATGTTAAATGAATAAACTATAAAAGTAAATGCTTTCTCTTATGACCTAAACACAAAACAAAACAGAGAGCACTACCGAGAAAAAAACCAAAGTTTTTAACCAGCTCAAATAAAGCTTTATTAGAACACAGTCACACCCACTAGTTCAAGTATTGTCTATGGCTGCTTCACACTACAGTGGCAGAGTTGAGAAGTTCCAACAGAGACTACAGGGCCCACAAAACCTAAAATATTTACTACCTGGTTTGTATTAGTTTCCTTGGGCTACCATAACGAAGTACCACAAACTGTATGGCTTAAAACAACAGAAATTTATTCTCTTACAGATCTGCAGGCTAGAAGTTCAAAATCAAGGTGTCAGCAGAACCATGCTCTCTCAAAGGATCTAAGGGAGAATCTGTTCCATGCCTTCCTCTTAGTTCCTGGTGTCACCAGCAATTCCCTGACATGCAGCAGAATAACTCTAATCTCTGCTTCCACTGTTAAGTGGTTATCTTCTTCCATGCATCTGTGTCTTCGTATGGTATTATCCTCTCTTATAAGGACACCAGTCATATTGGATTAAGGGCCTACCCTGCTCTAGTATGACCTCATTTTAACTATTAATTGGTGGAAAAGTAATTGCAGTTTTAGCATTGTTGAAACTTGCTGTTTGATACTGGAATACATTCCTAAATAAAGGTGTTTATGTCACACATCATTTTAATGTGCATTTCTCGCTTTATGTTTTTTTGCTAATGACTTATTACTTGATGTTTATTTTACATTTATTTTAAATTATGGAAATGATGTTAGACAAAAAGCAAATCTGAGCAATTTTCTTATTTGAGTTCAAAATGGGTAGTAAACAGCAGAGACAACTCACAACATCAACAACGCATATTACCCAGGAATTGCTAATAAATGTACAGTGCAGTGGTGGTTCAATAAGTTTTGCAAAGGAGACAAGAGCCTTGAAGATAAGGTACACAGCACAGTGGCCGGCCATCAGAAGTAGACAACGACCAACTGAGAGCCATCATCGAAGGTGATCCTCTTAGAACTACACGAGAAGTTGCTGAAGAACTCAACCTTGATCATTCTATAGTCATTCGGCATTTGAACCAAATTGGAAAAGTGAAAAACCTCAATAAGCGGGTGTCTCATGAGCTGACGGAAAATCAAAAAAAATCGTCGTTTTAAAGTGTTGTCTTCTCTTCTTGTACACAACAACGGACCATTTCTCAATCTGATTTTTATGTGCAACGAAAAGTGGATTTTCTACAACAACCAACGATGCCCAGCTCAGTGGCTGGATTGAGAAGTCCAAAGCACCTCCCAAAGCCAAACTTGCACCAAAAAAAGGCCATGGTCACTGTTTGGTGGTCTGCTGTCAGTCTGATCCACTACAGCTTTCTGAATCCTGGTGAAACCATTACATCTGAGAAGTATACTTAGCAAATCAATGAGATGCACCAAAAACTGCAATGCCTGCAGCCGGCATTGGTCAACAGAAAGGCCCCAATTCTTCTCCATGACAACGCCCAACCATTTGTCGCACAACCAATGCTTCGGAAGTTGAACAAATTGGGCTACGAAGTTTTGCCTCATCCACCATATTCACCTGACCTCTCGCCAATGGACTACCACTTTTTCAAGCACCTTGACAACTTTTTACAGGGAAAACGTTTCCACAACCAGCAGGATGCAGAAAACGCTTTCCAAGAGTTTGTCGAATCCCGAAACATGGATTTTTACGCTACAGGAATAAACAAACTTATTTCTCATTGGCAAAAATGTGTTGATTGTAACAGTTCCTACTTTGAGTAATAAAAATGTGTTTGAGCCTAGTTATAATGATTTAAAATTCACAGTCCAAAACTACAATTACTTTTGCACCAACCTAATATTACATCTGCAATGACCCTATTTCCCAATTAGGTCACATTCTGATGTACAAAGCGTTGGGACTTCAACAAATGTTTTTGAAGGACACATCTCAACCTATAACTTGGCCCTTTACAGAAAAAACCTGCCAACTCCAACCTTACAGGAATAAGAATTGAGGAGGAGTAGATCCAGAAGTGTCACTGAACAGGGAGAGATTTAGAATAAGAGAACTGAGATTTTGTTTTAAACGAACTAAGTCTAAAGTAAAAGTAAGAACTCTCTAAAAAACGTCAGGCAGAAAGCAATACATGTAGGTCAGGTATCTGGATTGGCTTAGAGACAGAGACAGTAGCAACTTGAAAATGGATGAGCATTCTCAAAGGAAACATTTTGTGCAGCAGGTCAAGAACTGATCTTTAGAGAATGTCACTGTTGGGTAACAATGTCATTAGAGAATGCCATTGTTAAATAACACTAGATAATAATGTATAAAACAATGTAATTAAGTATTATATAAACTAAAAGAAAAGAATTACAATAGTGACAAAACTAACAAAAAGGCTGAAGAAGTCTGAAAAACGACTAGGGGATTTAGCTAGAATGAGACTAAAGTCAAATAAAGAAAACAACTTTGATGGAGAAACTAAGAGGGAAACCAGACCGGGGGAAGATGAGAATGCTTAAAAACTAAAGACAGTGGGTACAGTAAATTACTAAATTGGTGGCCTCCAATGAACCACATCTCCTGGTTATTATCTACATCCTTGTATAATTCTCTCCCACATAGACTCTGAGCTTAGCCAAATGACTTGCTTTGGCCAATATATTAGTGAACACTGACAAGCAGAGGCATGATAAGCACTTGCACATGGGAACTTGCCTTCTTGGAACACTACCACTTGGAAGCCAGCTGCCACGCTGTAATGAAGCCTGAGCTACACTCCCAAATGATGTGAGGTCAAACACAGAGAGACCATGAAGAAAAAGAGGCCATGTTAGATACCCCAGCCCCAGCAGAGGCTCCCAAATGAATGCAACTGCCATAGTGACCTCGGCCCATACCTAAGGGAACAGGAAAACTGCCCAGCTGGTCCCAGTCAACCCACAGAATCAGGGGAAATAATAAACTGTTGTCATTTTAACCCACTACATTTTGGGGTGGTTTGTAAAGCAGCAATAGATACAGTCAAAATGGGATATATATTTGAGAAATCCAAGAATGTGAGACTAAAAATTTTTACAAAACTGGGAACACACACACAAATTGGGGGATGGACCCACAAAAACTTTGTAAATATAGACGCTAAAATTAACATGTAAAAGGAAAAACTAAAGATGCTTAAAATGAAGGAGTTGAGCCATATGAGGAATAGAGAAAATTTAAGACTAAAAACACAGTCATTCCGTTGTAAGAGAATACAAAGGAAAATGTTTTTCCACCTACTTCATCACTTTCATCTACTTCAATTCCACCATCTTTGTCATCATCCATTTGTTTATGTATTGTTTGAAGAGCTTCCAGACTAAATCTATCTTCTTCTGTAAAGCATGGTGGACTCAGTGACATGCAGGGATCTGAAATTGAACACAGGGCAATTACTAACTTGCCATACCAAAACACAGGCTTTAGTTAGAGAATATAACTTTTAAAAAAAACCAACACGATTAAACTTCAGACTAAGTCAAACTAAGAGGCTTTAAAATGTCTAGCAGAGTATTCTTCACATCAAAAGTACAATATATGAACACAACTGGCCAAAAATAAATAACCCAACCTAATTAGTATTAGGCAACTACAACCAAGAGTTATATTAGCACTAACTTTGGGTTGCCTAAAATCTTCTACATCTTTAACCATTTCTTATCCAACCTGTTGTATTTACTAATAATATCCCCCACCTAA